TAGGCACGTTTATTAATGCTACTGATAAAGCGGATAAAATAGTCGGCATTCAGTGCAAAATGTTATGACCTATTTTACCTCATCTTAATAATGTACAGAAATAAATGTGACTTCCCTTACATGATAAGTATACAATTTGTAGTTTGGAAACTGTAAATGCAAGTGTGACGGCAGGTCATATTCAAAATTATTATAGAATAAAGAGAGTTTTAAAACTGCAAGTTACACCTTCTGCATTCATAAAATTTGAAGAAGACGTAAGCTTCTACCAATGGGGTGAAATAAAATAATATTTGTGGGCATACCAGCTGTTAAATCTCTCTGCATTTTTAAGGGCGTAAAGAGTCATTAGGAAAATTCATACTGCATAAGTACTCATTTGTTACGGAATTTAGTTTGTGAAGGGGGTCGATACGCAGCTCGTTCGGAAGTCGGCATCCTGAAAATGCTAGAACGATTTGGCATCATGAGACTCGATAATGAACACGACGACTCTGCTTAAGTAATCTTTTTCGGATTGGAAACACATTGCAGAGTTTAGTCAGCATTTCATGAGATACCATAGCTCCTTTACGTCGGCCATTTACTATGGTTGTATCCCATCATTTACGGCATATGCAAATCACCTCTTGGTGCTAGGCTATACGTCCAAATGTCAGATTTTGTATCTAGGAGGCAGAATTCTGGGACGAAGCACCAGGTTTTTTGCAATTCAGTTTCGTCATCCGTGACAACCCTTGCTGTCGGGATAGGAAGGAATACACGGAAAATTCGGATAGCCGGAAGGGCATTCGGCGTGTGCTGCAGTACATTCTCTCGTCGTTACGATGCAGCCTATTCTGCGATCCGGGCGGTGAGCGCACACTTGCGTGAGAGCTAGAGATCCAGTTGCCCAAACCTACTATTTACCAAGAGCGAGGAAAGCGTTGATGAAATAAATGTAGATCAGACCCTTAGGTTCTTCTGATCACACGACATTTATGTGCTAATTCCGAACGAAGTTCCACGTCGTCAAAAAATGTCTTGTGGTGTGAGTTTGAGGCAATGGAATCGGCGACTTCACTCATACAGGTGACTGTTGTTACGAACAGATGTCAGTAGACGTTGGAAAACCTTCGAAATACTTACTTACTTACTTGCACTTGGTACGGCTACGATCACGCCCGATCCAACCGGCCTCAATGATGTCCCGAACTGTACCTCTCCACGCGTGACGATCCGCGGCACCGGGTCTGGACAGCTCAACCCATTTTCTTCGCCAGCGACGGAGACCGAATACCGAAGGTCTAAGAACCACCCCCATGTCTTGACGAACTAAGTCGAGCCAGGTTTTGAGTTGACCACCACTTTGGCGCCTCCAAGGAGTAACGGTGCCGCATCGAGGACAGTAACACTGAGTTCCTGAGGTGGACGACGAATAGCATGCCCAAATCATCTCAGTCGTCTTTCTTGGATGACCTCGGTTATACTTGCAATGTTGTCGCAGCGAACGTGGACTGTCTCACTTGAGACAAAATCGGTATTCTGTACTCGAAGGATGTTCCTTGTAAAATTATTTACTAATTTCTTGCTAATATTAGCGAAGCAAAAGAGCTACGTTTTTCTGTTGGCTTGGACAAAATGGCAACTGGAAGACGACAATGAAATAATGGATGCTCAGTCTTAAAAGGGTCATGATGGAAATCCATAAATGAAGGAGAATGCCATAAGTAGAAATTAAATCTAGTATACTATCGTTTCTGGTCGAAGAGTGGACTAGTTGTGACATGTTCAAAAAGTGAATAGTGTATGGAATCTTCTGGAATATAGAGTAGGAAGTACTTATGTGCCAATCACTGTCTGGCAAATTAAAATCTCCTAGAATTATCTTGACATCGAATGAAGCCTTGGCGACTTTTTCGAAGAGCTCACAGAGTTGGCTTTCATTTCCGAAGTAACAAGGTGAATTATATACACGTCCGACCAAGGCGCTCCAGTTTTGCGGAAGGATTGTTGAAGCGAAACAAAGATTTCCAAAGTAGGAAGAAATGTTCAGATCATAAGGCGACTGTGCAAGTGTGGCTGTGATGTAAAGAGGGCAACCACCGCCGCGTCGTTCGATACGATCCTGACGGTTTAAGCTAAGGCTATCTATTTTGAGAGCCGAAAGTGAAATTAGTGAGTGAGCCCAAGATTCTCTGATTCACAAAACATCTGAGTCAGACTCAAAGAACACACTCCTTAGTTGTGCCATCTTTTGCTGCACCACTGGTCTTGTGCTGAGAGAAACTGTACTGAGCGTATTCCTAAGATGAAGGTTTTGCTCATTACAACGTATAAACAAAGGAAGAGTTGGTGATGGAAATTTAAGCTGTAGAGAAGAAGTAAAGGATGGAGAACAAGGCTGCTTTGGTCTGATATTTATGGGAAAATTAGCACTAACTATAGAGGCTGCATTGCACGGAAACACATTTGGACAGGATCCATGAAGAGGAAGGCCATTTCGTGGGTTTGGAAAGATAGGAAGCATAAAAACAGGATTTTGATAATGTTGAGCATTTATGCTGGAAAAGG